ACTTCAGCCTGAGTCTTGTGTCTAAAGGGACGCTCTGAGAACAAAATGAATGATTTTCACAACTACGTCAATCTGAGCTGATTGTGGGGCTTCAGAGTACGCAGGGTGCTTTACACTGTGAATGAGAAGAGTAAGTTTTCACCTTGTAAAACAGCTGCCTGCTACTGAGCACAAACCTACATGCTAGGTTCAATGGTAACTCTGAAATGTCTCTTAGTGTGAGTGAGTGTGAATGGTCGTTTGTCTTGTTTTTCTGTATACGTCCCTGTAACGGATTTGCAACCTGTCCAGGTGAGGTGTACCCCACTTCTAGCACAGTGACTGCTGGAGATGAGTACCTGTGGCCCCTGCCCCAGAATGGAAAGTGGATAAAGAAGGTGGATGGATGCTCCAAAGTGACTCAAATGGATGGTCGGTATGATCCAAATAAGATTCTTAACAGAGATGCCGTCATTGTTCCCAAACCTGCCGACAACCTCTAAAGCGGACAAAGACCAGCTTTTTTTCATTGAGGCACGTGGCCCAGACCCTTTACAAGCAATGAAACATCTCACCCACGTACGACCACTGAACGATGAGGTTTGGGAAATGTTAAGAATTTTGTTAAAAGGGGAACAATTAAACAAAGTACAGTGTGACTGGAGGAAAGTCGTGTCTCTCTTCAAACACGTCACAGTCTAAACAATCCTGATGTCGCCTCCACGTCTCTCAGCACATCTTTCATCTGAACATCCAAACCCGCTCTGGAAGATTCAGCTGTCGATGAGAACAGAAAGCTGCAAAGTGCTCCGGACAAATGACCTCATTTCACAAAACGACGTGTGGAAAAAAGATGAACAGGATGAATCTCAGACATCTAGCAAAACGTGAATAGTCTTTAAAAAAGTTTTTTTTTTTTTTTACTAAATGTCATTTTTCAGTTCCTGATTGTTTTTAATTAAAGAGTTCATCAAGTTAGGTCAGCTTTCTCAGAGAAAATTTTAATTAAAAAAAGTTTAATTTCTGCATACAGAAGACCTGTCTTTCTAATTCCCAGAATTTATAAACCTGCATTGTGTTTGATAGTGGTGACTCTATCGAGCACGTTTTCTCTCTCATCCAGTTTATTATCGGTCTACCATCTGACACCATGTGCAAATTGCTAAGACTATAGCTGCAACTGTCACTGTACGACATTAAAATTCAAAATACAATCAGGAACAACAATAGGAGGAAGACAGATGGTGGGCTGCTGTGCAGACAGCTCATCTAAAATTAAGTTTCTACGCATTAAGTTTGTGTGTAGACTAATCAAATATTTGCTGTAGACGAGCGGGGGAACATACCAACGTCCAAAGTGCTTCTGAACTGATTAACATGTTTCTTTACTGAGAACACCTTCCTGTCTGTCTTTGCTTGGATGTGGACCAAATTTATTTAAATTTAAAAGTATTTCTTTCTAATAAAAACAGGATTCCTTGAAAGAGTGCATATCACTTAACCAGTGCCTGTCATGCCAGAGTTTTAAGACAATTTTATTACGTTAAGAAGTGTTAACGGTTTAGCTGTCAAACTTTGTAACAAACTTTGTAATGGGTGATCTCATGTAATTTTACGATAATTTGCTTTATTTATTAGCTCTCATACTACGTGTTGTGAATGATTTTCAGCTACTATCTTACCTAAATTAGGTCATTGTCTGTAAATTTGACTGTTATAGCTGTCTTTGTGTGGTGGCCATTTTGAATTTGGGTGACTTTAAAAATGTCATGTTGTAAATGCAGTGGCAAAGAGTGACAAAAAGAGGTAGACCTTCAGTTAAGATGTAATACTGAAGCAATTTAATAAATACAAATGTCTAAGACTGGAACCAAGACTACCCAAAAGGCTTTGCAGCTCACCCAGTCTCTTGCGTTTAAGTGCAACATGTACAGTAATTTCAATCATTCAGACTTAAATTTAACAGTAACTAACAGAACTTACTGTTTCTGTACATTTTCATTATGCAATTAAACCAAAATACAACTAATATATTGAAAATTATAGATGCAAACCTAAATGGGCTTTGACCTTTTTTTAACGAGGTTAGTCAGTTAGGAATAAATTCTAATTTTCACTGATGACCTGGCCAAGAGGCAGCAAGTACAGAAGTGGTAAGGCAGCTGAAGAACATATACGGTAAATAACTGACAACCAAACACCAAAATACACACATTAGAACAAATAGTAATTATATTATTATAATGTAATTATAACAATAGAAGAGCTAGAAGGTACATAGTACAAAAATGTAACAGCATAAAGTGAAAAGAAGATTGTTTAAAAAAACAAAACATTTAACCTTCACATTTTAGAGCAACTACAAATTCAGTTTGGATTTTTAAGTTTAGACGTTGCAACTGAAGGCATATGATCAAAAAAATAATTAATAAAAACCTGCAGGGTCTTCCCGAAGGCACAGAGCTCTGTGTATTGGCCCCACCCACTTTATATCAACATAGTGATTGGTTAATTTTCCCATCGGTTATTAAACAAACTCATCCTACAGAGCCTCTGGCTGAGCTTTGCCTTCTCTGCAGACAGAGAAGTCCTAACCAGTGAGAAAGCTTCTTTAAACATTAACGTTCATGCTCAATAATCCAGGTAGAAAAAAATCCTCCAAAGTTAAGTCAGGTCCTTGTACAGTTTCTTTTTGTTGAAATGTTTCTTCTTTCATCCAAAAGACTTCATCAGTTCGAGGAGCCACAACAAACTCAGTCGTATACATAGCACCTTCACATAGTGGGTCAACCAGTTTGATGGTACTAACATGGTTTCTAGAGTCCCACTATGTGAAGGTGCTATTTATAAGATGGAGTTTGTTGTGGCTCCTCAGACTGATGAAATCTTTTAAATGAAAGTCAAAATGTTTCAACAACAAGAAACTGCCCAGAGGATCTGATTTAACTTTGTTGGCTTCTTTAAACATGTTTCTTCCTGGAGACATAACCTTGAAATAATCTGATTGGAAAACCGTATTTTGATTCATTAAAAACATTTTCTTGCTCAACTGCAAAGTATTTTACAGAACATGAGATAAATTAGCAAAAAATAACAAAAACTACATTGAAAATAAATATTAACTAAAAAAATTATGTAACATTTCAAACATACCCAATTCTTAGGCCTTCTCTCAAGACATAGAAGGCCTTGAGGGTTCTCCACTTTGCACGTGTGCATCCAGTGATTACTTTGAATGTAACAGTTAATGGTAAAGCTTTAAAAACTGATCCTGTGCAGTCAGTTACTGCTCAAAATGTAAAGAGCGAATGACTCTCAGCTGCCAAAACACCAAGTTTTAGCTCAATATCTTTAAAATTCAATGAGATACATTCATTTTTGTGTTTGCTAATGTTGCTGAGGTGTGGCAGCCATCTTGAATGGCGTCGAGTCTGAAAGTTAATTGGCTGTAGACCTACATGTACGTCCAGGGATCGCTTTGAGAGTTTCATTAAAATCTCCATTGTTTCATGAGATGTTTTGTTTATGATACAAACCAACAAACACACAGAGAGATGTGGACAACTACATTACTGCTGTTACCTTCAATTGCAGGTGACAAAATAACATAAAATACAGAAAGTGACAGAATTCATTCACATCAGGATATTTTGCCTCCACCTGCCATTGATATACTGCACCATGAAGGAGGTCATGATGCCCAAGTCAGCGCAACGAAGCAAATACAGTATGATACTTTACCAAACTGTAGCTGTTTATTTGACTTTACTTGGTTTATTTTCTGTGCCATCACGGGTGAAAAGGTTTTTGTCCAAACACAGCAATGGGCAGTTGACATTTTACACAAATTTCCGTTAAGGATGTTCTCCTTCAAACATTTTCAGCAATCTTATTGAGCTCTAATGTAGAAAGAGCGAAAAAATAACAGAGGATGGCTAAAAAAAGGACTAATCTCAAAGGAAAAGCATTTATCAGACGCCTCTGAAGTTTTGGTGGAAAGGTAACTTAGCTGAAATTGCAGCAGTAAGAAAAACAAAAACAGAGCCAGTTTTCCACGGAAAAAGTTAGACACTGTGGGAGCGGTTATCTGGTGTCATGGTTCAGTGGCTCAGTGGGCAAACCAGCACGTATCTATGCAGCTTTACTGTAAGCTGTTAGTTTGGCTTATCTCTGCCGCTGCTGCTGACTGAGGCTCTGTTTTGTTGAGCTGCATCCTTGAGGAGAGGATGACGGGAAAAGAGAAAATTTCACACATAAACACATACAGTAACCTATTTTCTTTATCAAAAACAGAAAATCTACAATTATCAAATCAACTCATATATATATATATATATATATATATATATATATATATA